GACGTCTTGACATCGGATATGGGCCAGTGTTTCACGCAAGGCAAGGGTTGACTTTTTCGTACGACTTCGGTAAAAAATAAAAGTATCATCTAAAATCTAGGTAGTTTTTATAGATGATAACAGTGAGTCCGGTTACAATTAAATTTTGAAGAGATTCATCTACAAGTATAAGACCCGAGGTTACTGCGATGGTAAAACTTTGTTTTGCGGGATTTGATTTTTAATAGCACAGAAAATGCTACATGCCGGCATACATCACTGGGTCACATTTTACAATTATTCTATTCACACCAATTAAAAAACAGGGCAGCTTCCTTCATTAATGTGCAAAATATGCAAAGAAGGAGAGGGTTATCAGTAATTCTTTAGTTTAGTTGTCATTCACTAATTATGGACGAGATGGTAAGCACGCGGAAATTAAACTTTTGGTAATGAAATAAAAAATTTCTACTTTCGACGCATTAACATTGAAGCAGCCATTTGTATCTAGAATATATAGCCTAACAAAATTCTGGTAAAACTGCCATTGATCTTTTTGGCAAATTTCACAACTTATATCTAAATCGGTTATTTTGACAATTTATAATTATTATCTTTCTTATTTTACGTTATTTTGTATTTTTACATCTATTTCAATATTTGCATTTTATTGTCTGGTTGATGCAATTCTATAAATAGTAATAACTCGATTATTGATCTACTTAGATCTTTTCAGTGAAGGAGATTAATCATATTGATATAACGACAGTGTTCAGATCAATAATATACACATACCTTCGGTCGAAATGATAACAGCTGTGTACCAAGTAAACAACTGGGTGGACCATGCAAATTACATTTCCCATGACGTACTGGTGCAGTCTCTGGGATTGCGGAGCCGCGCTTTAAACTTGCTGTTTCTGATTCGCTTTATTGTACTATTTACCTGTATGCTGTGCTACACGCCGAGGCGTAGTTTTGAAATAAACCATGCGAATGCTAATTTCAAATTTGTTTTGAAAAATTGAAAAAGGGTGATCTCCATGAGAAATAACAAATTATTTTATGAGGTGGATTTATTATTATAGGGAGGGATTTGTGGTTCGGTCTTTTGAGAGGTCAATGCCCGCGGAAAGAGTATGAAACAATATATCCCCCTTTCTTTCACGAGCGTGAAGTAAGCCTCAGATTGAGCCTCATATTCAAAACCTGGCCTCAGATTAAAAATCTAGCCTCAGATTCAAACCATAGCCCAAGATTCAAAACCTAGCCACAAATTCAAAACCTAGACTCAGATTCAAATATGATAAAAAAATTGCGCTATAATCAAATATGCTATAATACTTTTCCAAGTCATTCTCTAAATAGATTAAAATAAGATGGTAGTTTGATAATTTATTGTTACGGTATTTGTTAAGATATGTATTGAACAAAATAATTTGCTTTGTACGTTTTTATAGTGTAGGACTACCTATGATGATCGATGCTGAGAATTCATTTACCAAATATCGTGATGGTAAGAGACAGGATTCTGAATCTGTCATAAGAGGCTAAGGGGGGTCTGATAGCGGTGGTGGTCCGATGGGACTAGGGGGACTGATAGCGGTGGTGGTCCGATGGGACTAGGGGGTCTTATAGCGGTGGTGGTCTTATGGGACTAGGGGGTCTGATAGCGGTTGTGGTCTGATGGGACTAGGGGGTCTGATAGCGGTGGTGGTCTGATGGGCCTAGGGGGTCTGATAGTGGTTGTGGTCTGATGGGACTAGGGGGTCTGTTAGCGGTGGTGGTCCGATGGGACTAGGGGGTCTGATAGCGGTGTTGGTTTTATGGGACTAGGGGGTCTGATAGCGGTTGTGGTCTGATGGGACTAGGGGGTCTGATAGCGGTGGTGGTCCGATGGGACTAGGGGGGCTGATAGCGGATGGTGGTCCGATGGGACAAGGGGATCTGATAGCGGTGGTGGTCCGATGGGACTAGGGGGTATGATAGCGGTGATGGTCCGATGGGACTAGAGGGTCTGATAGCGGTGGTGGTCCGATGGGACTAGGGGGACTGATAGCGGTGGTGGTCCGATGGGACTAGGGGGTCTGATAGCGGTGGTGGTCTTATGGGACTAGGGGGTCTGATAGCGGTTGTGGTCTGATGGGACTAGGGGGTCTGATAGTGGTGGTGGTCTTATGGGACTAGGGGGTCTGATTGCGGTTGTGGTCTGATGGGACTAGGGGGTATGATAGCGGTGGTGGTCCGATGGGACTAGGGGGTCTGATAGCGGTGGTAGTCTTATGGGACTAGGGGGTCTGATAGCGGTTGTGGTCTGATGGGACTAGGGGGTCTGATAGCGGTGGTGGTCTTATGGGACTAGGGGGTCTGATAGCGGTTGTGGTCTGATGGGACTAGGGGGTCTGATAGCGGTGGTGGTCTGATGGGACTAGGGGGTCTGATAGCGATGTTGGTTTTATGGGACTAGGGGGTCTGATAGCGGTGGTGGTCTTATGGGACTAGGGGGTCTGATTGCGGTTGTGGTCTGATGGGACTAGGGGGTCTGATAGCGATGGTGGTCTGATGGGCCTAGGGGGTCTGATAGCCGTGGTGGTCTGATGGGACTAGGGGGTTGGCACCATTTAACTCCGCTGTAAAAAAAAGTGTAACAGATAGTGTGGTTATGCAATGGAAATAGACATGGGGCTGAATGCTGTTAACTGGTCACGGGATTGAAATCACACGTTACGAATATCAATCCGAGTAATATACGCCATGATCTGTAGATATATTCGAATATCCAGTATTATGTAAATATAATTTTGTGTGTGATATTTAGACCTCGGTAGAGATTTAATTATAATATATTGATATCATAATTTCTGGCCAATATCTCAAACTTAAATTGAGGAGTTAAATATATAGCCATGTACTATGTAACTGTAGTACAAACTACGTCACATGATCCGTGACTGTCCAGACGTGGGGTTCCAAACCAATTATCTGTCGGTCATTGTAGTTAATCGTTTCTGAATTGTTCACACGTAGAAGACATCATCAACTAAAAATATTGGTTCTCTCCGCCTAAAACTACTTTAACTGACCATTGCCCATATTTGAACGTTGCATTACGTCATTGCCGTACAATTTGGTACCAGAATCTTAATCTTGAACCTGGCACAAAATATATTACACCTGGGCGTAGTACAGCGATTCAGAAAAACATTCTGCGTCGACCACCTATCGGATAGGATCATGGGAACGATAATACATGTTAGCCATGCGTGTTGTTCCTGTATGTTCATTACCAAACACATGTATGTTCGTCGCAGAAAGTAGCAGACTTCCGTCGGATGATTTGTTCCCATCTCTCAAGTCAGCTCCTGGCTCCTGGTCTGTGCATATAGGCAAAAATGAATAGACACTTTTTTTTAAATCTTCACATCAATATCCCAAAGTGGATACGATTACAATAAAGATTTTATTTATTTTTTATTCAGACAATAATTTTTATGTGTAATATATTTATTGCGTTCTACTGGACATGAAAATCGGCGTTAAAATCAATAGCTCACGAAAAATCGACATTTCCGGCGTGACGTAAAAGAAAAAGCATATTATTTTATACAAACGAAATAAAAAACAAAACTACCCCAGAAGTATGTTTAACTTTAAACATTCGTTTATAATCGATTCATGTTCGGGTCTCACCAGTCGGGGTTTGGGCGTAAAACAATCCAAATATATAACCGCGGATTAAATGCCTCATAACACATACCAGCCGGCCGTATATCATAATACTAGTTGGGAATTCCCCCACAATGCCATATTGTTATAATAGCAATATTGATAATATTTATTGAACTACAACAACCAATGTATATATCGGTATACAATAAGCGGAGATTGTCAAGAAAACAATTCATTGTCACATTTCAAAATTTCGAATTCAAAATGTCAAACAAGTAAAATAAAAAACGAATTGGATTAATCAGCTGAGTTTTGAGAATTGTCAATATTAATAAACAGATATACATATATCTATAAAACCAAATGAACATCTTACATCACATTCATTTATTTCCTGTGGCTTTCGGTAATGTAGAAGATCTAGGTCGAGCGCCTCCTTCTTTTACAGTAGACTTATCCACATTTTTGACTTGCAAATTCGGCAAACTTCGATTACTGGTCACCGAGTCACCTTCTTTTAACAGTTTATTTTCGCGTTCTGTTTCGTCTCGCTTTTCGTCATGCCCTTTCTGTTCAGTAGGGTAAAATCAATTTCATCATCATTTTGTTTATCTTCATTCTCGATGTTGTTTGTGAGCTCTACCTCTTCTTCTTCTGTTACCCACACATCTTCGTATTTTATCATGATTCCTCTACCGTCTTCTTTCAGATGAATCCGGGGAACTTGTTTCTTCTTTGTGACTGTTCTGGTTCGAGTAATTGACACAAGATTCTTTATGGCGGGCTCGGTTTTTGACCTGTGAATATCCTTGCTTGATTTTTCACCCACGGAAACAAGAGGTGTTTCCGAAGTGCTCTTTTTGAGTTCGGGTTTGACGCCACTTCTAGGTCTTCGTGGCGACGTGGGTCGATTTTCTTTGCGAAGCTGCAAAATTCCTGTTTTCGCACCACTGTCCGGACTTTTTGGCGATTTTCTCCCGCTAACCGGCGAATTGTTACCGCTGGTTCGAAAAACTTTGGAAGCTATGATGTCGACGGTTAAATTGGTCGCCGCCGTTTTGAACGTTGTTTTTTCTCTGGGCACGGGGTTCATATCTGACAATACCTGTACTGCATGCGAGCTCATCAGTTTTTTCGCTATTGGGAAGTCCACTTCGCTCGTTTCCTCTGGTTGAGAGGCTGGCTCAGCCTCTTCCCCCGAAGTGTTACGCGTTGATTCAGAAGGCGGACGAGCTGCTGATGCTCGGCGACGCATTAGCATTGCAAATACACTATAGCTCCGTACGTTGGAAGATGTCGGGCGATCCGAAACTGGTTCTGTTGTCGGTGGTACTGACCCGTCTGACGTATCGTTACCGCCATATTTTCTCGATGTCGGTGCGCTCTTTGGACCTCCCTTTGTGCGTTTCTCGGAGGGAATATAACTGAACGGGTATCCCCGACTTGTCCTGATGGCTCGTATCTCTTCCAGTCGCTTCTGTAGCTCCTGTCGTTCGTAATCGTAGTCGAGAATTTGTGATAGAACGATGCGACAAAAGTCGCATTTTCGTGTGTCCGAGAGCAGGTAACTGGACCGGTCTGTTTGTTTCTTGCGTCGAATACGGTGTCCGGCACGGGGCATGGTCGTATTCTTCTCTTTCACAACAATTCAATGAGACACAGAGTAAGGCTGTACTTCCAGATCGTTGGTTGATCTGGGCTGCGTTTAATTTGTCCTGGA